TGAATTCCTAGAAGCAATGCACTCAGACGAGGCATACATCAACAGGTATATTGATTTGGACGCTAGCTACGGTTTCCTCAAAGCTAAATTAAATACGCAGCACCAAATCACAGATGACGGCAAAAATATGGAAAGCACATAACATCTACGAACACGGACCAAAGCTCCCACCAATCGGCGCACACATACGAGGAATATGATTTTCTCAACGTTTAAACATGTTAGTTGTTCGTTGCACAATTTTTATACATTTGACGACGACCAGTGGGTCCGTATCGAAAATTTACGCAATAAAATTGAAAAATTTCCCAAAGAAATTCTTATTTTCATAAAGAGTAAACTAGTCCTATTGCTCTGGCTTCCACCGACTCCTTCGCTCCTAAGTAGCCACGGTCTGAAGATTGCAGTTGCTAGGGTTTAACTTACATAACCCCCTGCGATAGACGTGAATTGTGGGCAGTGTCCGAGGCTTGGAGTATCACTGGTTAATGATAGGTAGCCAGTCGGTGTCCTCGCCCCCGTCGTTAACACTTGCCTGCTTGCGCTGGCCAAGTTCAGAGGTTCGAGGTGATAATATCAGAAGGCAGGGTGCTTATTCAGAACAGATTTCTTGTATTTTTGGCGTCTTGAGGGGCGTGGCCACGTGAAAATTGTCGAAAAAGACAAGAAGGACTGGATTTTCAGTTTCTGGCTCATTAACCATCAGCAACCAGTCATACACAAGTCCAGCTGGTACACCGCCTAAAACTCGAACCTATGATCTGTTGACTCTAAGTCTAACATTCTCTCCGTTGCGTCTTCTAATCGATCAGTAACGGTCCATCCATCACTTCCAAATCTGTGTTGTTCCACTTGATCATTTGTTTTCATATGTGCGATTTCCTGCGCAAATGGAGGGTAAAGTTAATTGAAAATGACACTTGCGGGAAAACACCACCTCCTACTACCCTCCTCCGCTGGATCACTGTCGTATATGTTGAGTTCTGCAATCTCTTATGCTGAGGAAAATAGCTGATATCATGAGTAACCGCACGGCGTCGATATTATTGGTTTTAAAATATTTATGTAATGCAGCATCTGGTCCTATTTATGCTCAATCTGTTTGCAAAAGGCTTAGTTAGCAAAGTGTTTACTTAAATGCGGGTAACACGTTCTGCCTATCCTTATCCGGAATATGATTTTGTAGTCAAATATCTACGTACGCAGTGCGTCATTATGTCAGCACGGCAGACTGACAGCAAATCATGATATAACATACGAGTCATGAGTCTCCGTTGCTGAGGTAACTTGTTGATATGTGTAATAATTTGATATGTTGATTTGTTTTATACTTTTCAGAGTTTTGTGAATTCATACCCGCTCGGGTAGTTTTGTAGTAACTAGCTCCACGCAAACACTGACTTGTGAACGCTCCCATCTTTCAGCTTCTGGGACAGCCAATCACAGGTTTTGCAAACCCCGCGAGAACGCGGCGGCCAATAACACGCTCGCAGTCGTAGACTGACCTCAATCTGTCTGGTAACTCGCTTTCAAGGCGTGACTGGGATGACTGCCGCGAGTCCCGCACTCCGGATGCCGCCCCACTAGGGAACGGAGTGCACTCGTCCGAGAGTCACTTTGTTCTTACCTATTCTCTCACTCCTTCTGTACAGAATAAACTGTTCCTACCACTTTGGCCTCCCACTTCTTCTTCATCTCCTGAGGAATCGGGCCTGAAGACTGCAGCGGTTAGCGTTTAACCCTAGAAACCTTAACTCCTTGATAGTTTCTCATTGATTTTTTCCTCGTTCTGTTGAACAACAGTTAGCAGCCTTGCTTTCATGTTTCATCAGACAGTCTTCCTGATCGCGGATGAAGTTCGACTTTCTTCAACCTTCCTTGTCAGGCATTAAACTGCTATACAGATTTTCTAATATTTTTCAGGTAGCCGTGGACAGAGTTTTGTGAATTCATACCCATTCGGACAGTTTCTCCTTGATCTGTTCTTTTATTATCTTGTGCAAAATTGACTGGCCCTGATTGCATGATTTCATTAGACAGCATTCCTGACCACGGCTTAATATACAGTTTTTTCAAACTGCTATGCTGAATTGTTGTCCTAGCTGATGGTGCACATTTTGAGACGTTGTTGAAAATTTTGCCAGGTTTGACACAACTCTGGTACATTACCGCGTGGCTAACAACAAGCACTTACCAATTCCTGGTGTGAAGGAGGCCTTACCGTTGTACACCAATTTAAACTGTGTTTATGAATTTAAATGCACTTGCGAACGCAAGTACATAGGGCAAACGCAAAGGCAATTGACCGCCGGAGCCAAAAAACACTTACCCAACGGGTTATTGAAACAAAAAAACAGAACTCTCCGTTCGTCGATTACCGAACATCTACTAGATACGGGCCATTCTGTGGACCTCTATTCGAGTATTTGTTCGGGCACGAACAACTCGTAACTTACGCTACCTGGAGGCAGCATAAATACGACGGTTTAAACCTGACTTCTGTAAACAACTGCAGCATGTGCTGAATCTAACTCTGCCGTGGTAACATCGGCTCCCTGTTCACACATTCCCCTTCTCAACCCACAGCGTTTAACTTTCTTACGTTATTGATTGCCTCTTGGCCATTTCCTGTGACCTTGCTTTTTGTATCGATTTTTCTGTATGAATTCAATTTTGTATTTCCTCTTACGTTACTCGCTTTATGCAACGAGAGGAAGGAACTGATGAGCATTCTCAAAATTAATGAATCCAATAAATTTTGTTGTTTACACGATCTTCAAATTTGCTATCAGGAGCTGCTTCCGTCATCTCGTGAGAATGAAGCATTATCTATCTACAAATAACAACTACAATAAAGAAAATAAAATAAGAAAGAAAGAACATCTATAAGTGAACTAAGTTCAGTGAAATCAATCTGCCCAGTATATAGAGGCGACGTTTTACGAGTTCGAGTTTCTTCAAACTGCTTTTTCCAGGACTGAATTGCTGTCCTAGCTGGAATCATCAGATAGGGCAGTCCATGCAGAGACTCAACCACCCTCCCTTAAAGTGATGATCATCAACGCAGGTCATTTTAAAACCCACCAGACATCCGCTAAAAGGCTCAGACAACGCAAGCCCGACTTAAGCAGCAAGCCACTTGAAATTCTGTTCGATTTTGGTCACTTTGTATTATCATTTAACACTTTGGTAATGGTAAGCCTAACCAAGTATTTGGAATGTCAACAATGGAGTAAAACTGTTTTAAGAACCAGCATAGGTGAGGATTACTTACATAGCTGCCTGAACAGAACACGAGAACAGGAATCGCCCACAAATGCAGTTGGGGTTAGGGATAAGTTTAGGGTTCAGTTTGAGGTTGGTGTAAGGTTTACGTCTCAAGTTACAGTTAATTTTGGAGTTATATTTAGGGGTACGGTTGGGCTTCGTGTAAGATTAGGACTTTTTGGGAATGCCTCGATTCCCATGATGAGTCATCGCACAGAAAGGCCCCTGAGAGCAGCTGCCACACCGCTGCCATGAGAGCGGGACCATGGCTATCGATTTTTCGTCAAAGCTTATTGGTCCATAGTGGCTGACCGAATAAATACACGCAGTCTTTTTGGGAGAGTGACTTGTTTTGGATGAATACACTTTTCCTCGTGATCGATTGTCTTTTCATGTTGGCTTTGAGCACAACTGTCGGAAAAATCTCACCGTTAGTGCTAAGTACAAGTACCAGAAGTGGGTCATAACAATTTCGAAACGCAGTTTTATACTTATAATGGCTTACGTGTACGCTGACTTGAAGCAAATGTTGTAGGAGAAACTAAAGCTAACGGAAGCTCTCAGCGTTACATGAGCAAGGAGTTTTTATTCCCCTGTCCGGTTTGGAAGGCCATATAAGTAATCCTTCTCTCTTTGACTTTTAGACTTACGGTCATTTTTCCATCAGTTAAGGCGCAGTCACTAGTTGCAGATCTTTACAATATTTGTGGATATAGAATAATCAAATGAGTGTACCTTTAGACAATGTGGCATCCTCGGCTTGTCTTCGGAGGAAATCCAAACAGGCCTCTTTGTTTACCCCAAGGGAGTAGATGCGCCAGGCGAATTTGCTTCAAGGAAAACAAAATTTTGAAGCATAATAATTATAGTGGTCTGTAAAACGAACTTGTATTAAACGGTAGTATAACCAATAGCCCCTGCAACCAAACCCAGACTGTACTGCGTCCCATACATAAGACAGCCCCATAACCCACTCGAAGGTCCTTACTGACTGCTTCTCATAATGCCCATTAGAATGGTAATAACTGAACCTGTAGCGTATCAAGCTCGTGTAGGCCATCGTTTCTGGCATATGCGCCTTGCTAGGAATCACGTAGCCTTGGCTTACTGACAGGCGGACGGAGCATGAGCAGATTCAACCTTGACGACAGCCAATCAGAGGCGTCACAAAAACCATAATCACCCAATCAACTTACTAACCCGAGGCCAAATGGCTCCTGACTGACACGCCCACAGATGCGCGCGTGCGCGAACAGACACAGAGCCGTCCACGACTGGTGAGCCATGATCATTGTAGTGCCCAAAGTGCATCACCCTACCAAAGCCTCAACAATATCCTCTCCTATGAACGCGCGCAGTTATAAACCATGAATTTCCGGCTAAGCTCGGAAGCATTTAAAGATTAAACATTGCCATTGCAACCATGCGGCATTACACTTAAAGTTCGGGTAGGAATCGTTTGTGTACACTGGAAGTGGGAAACAAGAGGGCCCCGTAGTACAAGTAACCGTACGCTATATTCTAGGGAATGTAGGGTTGGGGTTACGGGCAGGGTTAAGTTTTAGGCTAAGATCGATGCGTAGAGGAGGGTTTTGGTTATCGTGAAGGTGTGGCAGCCCACGTCCGGCGCCACTGCACTGATTCATCTTGCTTTTGCTTGCGAGGTGACGTCGTCACTTGCGAAACTCGACAAGTCACTTGGCTTTACTGAGAAAATTAAATATTCACCCAAACTAGGATTCCGTGAAGAATGCTTGGACCTATCGAAATAAGAAGGTAGGAATACCTGAAATGATAGAATGGATGCCTCAAGGGGTTAAATCAGTATCTGCCAATAAGCAGTGCTGTTTACTGAAAGGAAGAAGTAGTAGAGGTCATCGCTTTCACAAGAGCTTTATTGGTCTGCAGTTTCGGATTAACGCTCGAATCCATCATCAGAGACAACATCAGATAGGGTTTCTCTTAAATGTGGCCTTCCTTCTGTAGCCCGCTGTTTTTATTTACTAAAATGCTTATTTTTAAAATGCAGTGGGCTTCAGCCAATCAGGTGGCCGGTTTTTTTGGCTCAGTTGCTTACATGAATCCAAGGTTGATAATACCAAACAGCTCGTACACATCGCAAGAAATTTACTTGATTTAGAAGTAAAATCAGTCCCTTTACTTGGGCTACCGACTGTCCCAGATTATTATTTAGAACTTTAGATTCATATCCCCACTTAAGCTGCTCCTTGGATTAAGACTTAATCTCTCCGGCTGACATCTGTACACCTTCATCGGCACTGTTTACCGGCTAATTTACATTTTATTGTTTGTTTAAGAAAACCACGTTTACAGCGTTTCTACGTACAGACAGGGAAGAAGTAAGCAAACTCAAGCTATACAAGCTATAAAGCGGCTAGGTTAAAACAAACTTAATGCAAGTTATCCGAACGGGCCAACAGTCAGCGGCCAAATATAAAACACGCTAACCAAAGACCTGGATCTAGTCTTAAGTTTATATCTGAAAATAGAAGTCAAAATAAAGGATTTCTTTTTTAATCATGGCGTACCTTAACTGGCTGAATGCAAGACCGTCGAAAAGCTCCCTCTCCAACTCCAGATCATTTTCGGTACCACTGGAAAAGTAAAAAAATATGCAAACTCAAGGAAGGAATTCATGCTGAAATTTTAAGAATGTGACACTCCTCATCCGTCAGTCTCTAAATGTTGCGTGCTTACATGTGGGTTTTTAAAAAGTTCGTTACTGACGCCCTCCGTCGTTTATGCGGACCATCATGCGAAATTTTTATGATTAATTAAATGTCCTTTGTACCGGCTGATTTACCAATGTTACTCTTATCTACTGATTACGTGCAAAAGCAGTAAGGATGGAATAATGTTTGGCAGGAAATGTGAATGTCTGAATATAGGGGTAACTTGATTAGTTTTCGCCTTTGTAAGGGTAACAATTTATAATATGTTTACGCATCGTTTTAAGTAGCACACTGTTAAGGGTAACGTTATAAAATAAATTTGAAACAATGCCAAAGTTTCTTGGGATGATATTCTTAGTTGTATTTTGTGCTTGTACTCTAGAATAGGTATTTATAAGCGGTCCTAGAGGGGTCTCAATTATTTCCGGATTTCAGCTATTCAGAAATAGCTATAGTTCACAAACCTCAAGAATATCGGGGTCGAGTGTACAGGTAGGTAAGAAACTGCTTTTTTGAAGCGTCAGCTAAGCTGACTCCCTGCTCCCGCTTCCTACACCAACACAAGTATTTCATCCATTTCGACCTGAGTAGTTTACAGTATGCATTTCCACTAGATGCACATGAATTCTTTACAGCACTCACGTCAGTGCCGAGGCTTGAGCAGACCGCTCCTGTTGTAGGGCAATGAAAACAGCGGCATTCCAGAAGCGTGTGGACTGCCAGATCTGTTGATCCCGAAGACCCGCGTACATGAAGGTCTGAGTCACCCGGCCGTTCGGAGCCACCTCTGTGCGCAGGAATGCAAAGTGACAATGACTCTTTGGAGGTTGGTTGACACGATGTATATGCGAATATATTAAAAGACCAAGCTGCCCTGTGGGGGCCGCCTAAATAGCTATTCCCCCCACCCAACTGTCTTACGGAATTTGTGGTTTAACATTTAATTCTTGGTTAGAGAGTGTAAAGGAATATTTAATTGTGTTGCGAGTGATCAAAAATATTAAATTAAAGAAACTTATATTTTTAAGCTGAT